TTTTTGTATAATATTTATACGGGTGAATTACTTACGTCGACTGTTTTGGCGACTAAAAATGCGTAGAATGGTTGAATTGCACCATTAAATATGCACGCTATACAAGCAATCAAAATAGTTATCCACTCAGGACTATTCATTGACAAGAGTCTTAAAAAGATAAATCTTTCTCTAAATGGTTTTGAACTTTGCTAAAAAAAAGGAGATTATCAATAATGGTTTTTATAAATGATTGCAGTAGTATTTGTACTTTGTTCACATCAACAGTTTGACTATCGCTTAGTAAATGGGAGCGTTCATCTTTGAATGAAAAAAGACAACGAAAAATGAAGACTATTACTATCAAAATATCTACATACAGATCGACTTCTCATCTTCTTCTTTTGGTTTGTGTATGCTTATCGTATCATCTTGATCGTCATAGATTCTTTCCATTTGTTGACGTTTGACCATTGCTTGATATTTGCCTCCTTCTTTTACCATCAATGTTTCATGTGTACCTTGTTCAATTACACTTCCATTATCTAATACATATATATGATGAGCTTTTTGAATTGTAGTCAAACGATGAGCAATAACGATAGTTGTACGACCTATACAGAACGTTATAGCAATTCCTTAAGCAGAAAAAAAACAATTGTTACCTTTGCATGCTCGATCGAGTGCTTCTTGAACAATTTTTTCACTAACATTATCAAGTGCACTTGTTGCTTCATCCAATAAAAGGAAAGTAGGCTGTTTGGCAAGAGCACGAGCTAATGCAATACGTTGTTTTTCACCACCACTCAACTGTATACCACGTTCACCAACAAGTGTTTCATATTTCTAAACAAGAAATAGTAATACATATATATAGATAAATGTGAATATTTGATGCAAACATCTGGTAATTGCATGATGAAATTATGCGCATTTGCTTCTCGTGCTGCTTGTTCGATTTCTGCTTGTGTTGCATTTACTTTACCAAAACGAATATTTTCATAAATACTCATACCAAACAGAATCTATTACAATATTGAATTAAAATGTAAGGAAGAAAAGAAAAACGAAAAAACAGTATACAGGTTCTTGACTAACAACTCCAATGTTTTGTCGAAGTTGTTGGACATTGTAATCTGTTATCGGTTGACCATCGATCATTATTCGACCCAATGAAGGTTCATAGTAACGAAGAAACAGTGATATACATGTACTTTTTCCTATGAATAGATTATGAATATAAATGAGATCACCTTAACATTTTTATTTTAGAAAAGATTTACCACAGCCACTTGAACCCACGAGAGCAGTTGTTTGACCAGCACGAGCAATAAGAGAGAGATTATGTAGAACTGGTGCATCTTTTCGAGATGGATAAATAAAGTTGACATTGTCAAATTCAATATCACCATTGATATTATAAATCGATCCTTTATTCTCTTCCCATACATCTGTTTCATTAATATTTATGTCATTTCCCTATATCATGTCAATCAAATATAAAACGTTGCTAGCAATATGAAACCTCAATTTATTCAGAATCACCTCGTCAATAAGTTGAAAAACTGCTACTGCTGCACCTTGAGCTGCTGAAACTGATTGATAAAAAGGACCAATCAAACTGAAGGAAAGCATACATTGTGCAAAGATTGAGACAACCTGCATTGAGATAGTGATCGTATATTCAATTCATTATTGACTGATTTTATGAATTACTCACGATAAGAATATCACTAATATTCAAGCTATGATGACTTTTGCTTGACATAATAAGAAAACCAAATATGAAACCGACTGCATAAACTAGGTAACTTATCAGAGATAAGCAGCCAGTATAAACTCCAAACACTGCACCTTGGCGTATACTACTCCAACGAGTTGAATGCAATTCTTTTTCATATCTAAATGTAATAAAAATAGAAACATGTCTTATGACATCAAATAAGTAAACTACTTTTATATATTCATTTACCGTTTTTGCTCAAATTTACTACCATTGAGAGAAAGCACAGTGCGAAGTGAACTAAACACTTCTTGAATGATTTGTCCTGCTTTCGAGTATGTCCTTAACTCATTGTTTGCTTCCTTAGCGATGATCTGTAACAATTCATACAGATTTAATTAATTGAACAACATTTTATACCTTAGAAAATACAATTGAAGTGCCAATGGCCAAAGGTATCAAAAATAGCATGATCAAAGTCAATTGCCAACTGATAATTAGAGATATTATTATACAACTAATGACAGCTAGTAAAATTGCGATCAATATTAAAAATTCAAAACCCATGCCTCTCTCCATCTTCGCAATATTACTGTACAAGAATTGAAACAAATGAAGTTATTTGATATAAAATATCACAATGACCTACTCAAATAGTGTAACATGGAGGTGACCAGTCGGTTTAGTATCCATATAAGGAATGCTCTAAAAGCATAGAGAGAAAAACAGTCGAAGATAAATAAATTCAACTGAGGAGTAACTCTAACTCCGCTTCTATTTCCCAAAGCCGATTGCATCTATATTTTCTTAATGCCAATCCAAGTCCAACTCTAGATTTTTTCAAAATCCTATCGCAACTCTGACTGTAAAAAGTCAAGCTTCACCCGATTTTATTTTATAAAATTGAAACCTTCCTGCATTTGTTTGTATCATTGGTGTTTATCCTATCAGATTTTTTTAATTTTCAGTTGACAAGTCATTAAGTCAAAAGGAATTTAATCGTTACCCATAAAAATCTATTACTTCGAATACCACCCTAACTGCACCTATCAAATATTAATCTCTATTATGACAAATATCTAATGAGAAGACCTTGCAGAGTCCCATTTCGATTTCAATGACTCTTTTTAATCGATAGTTACTAGATTGTAATCTAGTGGAAAACTTCAAAGGATTTCAGTTCTTATTGAAACTTGCCGAAGCTATTGCATTTTAAATATATCTATTTGCCAAAGATACGTAGTGGACTTCAAGTTTTCTGGAAATTCATGCTATTGAATTTTCTCTTGAAACTATTTCTATATGAAAGTTTCATATACAGTAACTTCTATGAAGAATTTCAGAGTTTGTAGATTTCGTATTTTGTAGATAGGAACTTGTTCAAAAAAAGATGATTTTCGAAGTTTATTGAAAAGTACAAGAATATTTTGAAAAGCTCATATCTCGGAAATATGAAGTCTAGAAACTCTGAAGCTCTTCATATAAACTACTGTATATGAGATCTTCCAATAGAGATAGTTTCAAAATAATATCCAAAAGCAGGATGTTTCAGAAAACCTTAGGTCCTACAGCGCTCTCTGGCAAATAGAAATTAAAAATTCAGTAGCTTCACCAAGTCTCAATAAGAACTGAAATTCTTTATTGATTTTCACTAATATACTATCAAGTATCTATGAGCGAAAAATCAATGAAATCGAAAGACGATATCTGAGAAGGTTCAAAGATAAGGTAATTCAATTCCACTTCAACTTTCTTAGATAAAAGTTCTAACTTCGAGTTGAAGTGGTGCATCTGTGGACAGAATAAAAATCGTTTCTATACACGGCAATCTAGAGAATAAATAATACGATTAAAATAACTACATGAGTTCATCAATATTTCTTTAATATTGTTTTTTGAATTACACTATCCGAACTTCAGTTTTCCAGAAATATTTTTAGTTTTACTATTTGTAAAAATATATGAATAACGAAGATGTCTGCCTTCATAACTATAAAGTCATCATCTGCTGAAGTTGAACGTTTCTTGACACACAATAAATGATCGTAATTGCTCTATAAAACTCCATCAAAATTTGTAAAAATCTCTAAGAAAGTATATGAGTGACAATGATATTGAGCATATATATGTGTTCTGTTTTTTCTAAATCCTTATTTTCAGATCTAGAAGTCCTAGAAATATAGGCATGTCTAAGTGTGTATAACTTTTATCTAGATACTTTAGTTTACTTCGTGGGTTTGCTAGAATTGTCAATTTGTAGATGATAAGACTTTCTTAAAAAGAGAAAGTACAAGATGTTATAAATTTACAGAAATATTAAGAAAAGATTGGGATTAAACTTTGGGAAATTTTTTTGTAAATGAAAGTGAATTTGACTTACACGTTGAACAAGTGATCGAAAGAGTAAAACACTCATACGAAATATCTGTCGTTTCACACTAATGGCCCAAAGGAAAACTGACATTGAGCCAATCAGAAGTTCCAAAGCACCCGTAACTACATTGACAGAGAAAAAAGACGATTTTCTTTATTTGTTATAATCAAATTATTATGTTCACTTCACTTACTGAATAACAAGTGAACCATGTGCATAACTTTTTGTCGAAATGAAGGTATTGATGTAGCTATTGTTGATGATAAAAATACATCGCTATTATAACGCAGTCTAAGGTGAAAAAATAATTCAAAAGAAAAAAAAAGAAATAGATATGAATTAATTATAGTTTTTAGTGAATTACTTGTGCGATGAAGCATTATTGAATATATTGAGCTCGATATCTTGAGAATATGTATTGTTGTGTGTAATTGGAGCTATTGAATTTCTGTGTTGATGGTCACAATTATCACCAAATGATTCAATCGCAAATAATCCTGTGAGCTTGCCGAAGAGAATCAGGTTAGCGGAGATGCAACATACGTGCAGTATATTCAAACATATAGCAATGAACATGAGGACAATATCGATGCGATCTGCAAATCGAAACTACCATAAAATCGAATACATTAATCAGTTTGTATTTTGTCTGAATACACTTACTAATCGAAGAACACCAACCGCTTTATCTTTGACATTATGTTTAGTATCGTGATCTAATTCGATATATTCATTATTGTTCTTTTTTCTACTGAAATATCGACGCCAATCAGAAAAGCTATGAAAAATAATAAATTCATTGTATTTTTCTCGAAGTTATTTATATATTAGATCATACCTATTGGTCAAAAGTTGTTTCTTATTTCCATTACTATCATCATCATCATCATCATCGCTACCAATAGACAATTTATTGGATGCGTTTAAGAGAGGTTGACTATCACTCATTCAGTCTTTATTGCAATAAAACAAATATGAAAAAAACATATTCATGAGAAATATGCAAAATCATTTCATTAAAAAGTAAATTATGATGATTACTTGACTGCTCATGCGTTTCTTTTCATTTTTTTTGCTTCTTAATTAGACTTGACGGTATGAAAAGTTAAGCGATGCAACGTAATTTTATTTTTTACCTTAGATGTATAGATAAAGCATGGTTTTTTTTCTCCACCATACATGTATGAATAAATAAAATACGAATAGAAGCGGAACAAGAGTATACTTACTAGAAAATATAAATTCCAAGATGACAATCACAATTTTGATGAATATTGTGAGTCTAATTACAAGTTTGATGTAAGCTAAAATAGACATTAAAATGTGTTGAAATCAAAATGACAAACTTACTCAAACATTTTCACTTTGTATACGATCATCAGATTTCAAATTTGAATTATTGAGTTTTATTAGAATTATATAAACAAAAAAAAAAGAAACATAAACACATAAAGACACGAAGTAAATTCCATATACAATAAGCATATACAGAATAAAAACGGTCAGAAATCAATAAAAAAAGAGTGATCACGGATGAAGCAGTAACAGAGATATAGGACTTCTTTCAGGCTACGAAAAGAAACTCTTTCTTACATTTTTCATTCATTTCCATCATACTATACAATATATGATAAGAAAATATCTATATTATTTTTCTTTGTTTATAGTTTTTTCAACAATTGAATGTCATATTAATTTGACATAATTTTTTTATATTTTTTTTTTGTAGAACTCATATATATTTTCGAACAAAATAGTGAATGTAACTCTAAAGTCGAAGATTTGCGGCTCCTCCATAGTCCGTCTCTATTACAGACAATAGCAACCAGGCTTAAAGGTTATTCGTCTTTTCCTATTATTCCAAACGAATCGATCTATAGCTATTCCAGCATCGTGACAAGGAGTTTCACCACATATCGAAAAGATTATTTAATCAAACTATAACTGATGGTAGTGATAATCAAGGTCTAATTGTAGCAATAATTAGTGATTTACGAAAAACTGAAATATTTTGGTATAAAAATGGTTGAAAATTAATATTAACAACTGGACAGCATATTTCATCACTTGTATAAAGTATTCTTATTCTTTATACAAACGGGTGTGGGGTGTGGGTGTGAGAGTGGGTGTGAAAATAAAGAGAATGCACACACCCACACCCCAAAATATCTCTGCATCTTTATATTTTTATTTAATGTTGCCAGAACTTTTGATTACCCTAAGTAAAAAATACTGAGACGTAATATCTCAAAAAACGTTTTATCTTTAGTGCACAATTGGATGCTGGTATTCAGAATTTTATGATAATTGTTCTTGTTGCGTCCGGTTTCACATTCCTGGTACAAGTATGTTCATTAAAAGAGCTCAATAATTATCGATAATGTTAACATGCAAATATTTCTGTCTACTGCACAACAATGGCTGTTGCAACAACTTACATTGGGTTCATAGCATTTGGTCCACCAATTTCTCCGCCGATTATTACTTCAATATTTCTCCTGATCATGCTTGCTGTAAAGTCGATGTT